ATTAATTAATTCATTCAGTCATTCATTCAGTCATTTATTAATTAATTCATTCAGTCATTCATTCAGTCATTTATTAATTAATTCATTCAGTCATTCATTCAGTCATTTATTAATTAATTCATTCAGTCATTCATTCAGTCATTTATTAATTAATTCATTCAGTCATTCATTCAGTCATTTATTAATTAATTCATTCAGTCATTCATTCAGTCATTTATTAATTAATTCATTCAGTCATTCATTCAGTCATTTATTAATTAATTCATTCAGTCATTCATTCAGTCATTTATTAATTAATTCATTCAGTCATTCATTCAGTCATTTATTAATTCATTCATTCAGTCATTCATTCAGTCATTCATTCATTCAGTCATTTATTAATTCATTCAGTCACTCATTCATTCAGTCATTTATTAATTAATTCATTCATTCGTTCATTCAGTCATTAATTCATTCAGTCATTAATTCATTCAGTCATTCATTCAGTCATTCATTCAGTCATTCATTCAGTCATTCGTTCATTCATCAACTCTTCCAGCTTCATTCACAGCAAGTCCAGATTTGCCCAGTCCTCACTACTTAAACTAGCTGTATTTTGTTTTTAATAAAAAAAAAAAATTATAATAATAAAAAAATCTTATTCTTGAGAAATATTTGTGGCTTTTACTGTTACAAAAGAAAATAGAAAAATGCAATATTTCTAATTGATATTTTTGTTGTAATGTTTTTGTTGTTGTTGTTGTTGTTTATTTTATTTTTGTATTGAAATGCAGAAAAACAATATAAGTGAACTAAATTATAAAATAATTTTACAAATGTAGAAAAATGTATAATTTTTTTGTTTTGTTTATTCATTTAAAAACATTTCATGTGGTAAAATGTAATTTTTATTAGTGAATGTTTTTAAATAATAATAATAATAATAAGTCTATATAGTATTTATTTTTTTTATTTTAGTTTTAGTTATTTCAGTAAGTTTTTTTGTTTTGTTATGTTTTTCTTTTTTTTACAGATTGACTTATTTATTTTTATCAATTACTGTTTTTATATGTCTGTATAGCTTTTATTCATTTCTATTTCAGTTTTAGCTATTTTAGTAAGTTTACATTTTTCTATAGATTCTCATTTTTAGTAGTTACTGTTTTTTAAAAATAAATCAAAATAACTTTTATTACTTTTTATTTCAGTTTTAGTTTTTAGTAATTTTTAAGTTTTTACAGACTTTTGTCAATTTTATTAGTTACTGTTAGTTATTAGTTAGTTAAATTTCTATTTCAGTTTGTTTTTACAATTAACTTTTGTCATTTATATTAGTAACTGTTTTTTTACGTCTATATATTTTTTTTTCTGTTTTTGTTTTTTTTATTAGTTTTAAGTTTTTACAGACTGACTTTTGTCATTTTTATTTTTTTATTAATGTTTGTTTTTTTTACCCCCCCCTCCCCGTTTTTATTTATTT